TCCTCGGGCTGCTCTGGCCACCGTGGGGGCCTCCCCCAACTCCCTCGGCCACCGCGGAGCCTCCACGGCCCCCGCCGGGCCCCTCTGGCCACCGCGGAGCCTCCCCGGACTCCCTTGGCCACCGTGGGGCCTGTACAGCCTCCCCGGACTTCCTTGGCCCCTGCGGCGCCTCCACTTTCGGCCTCCCCGCGCTGGTCGCAGAGCCCTCTCCGGCCCCACGCGGGTCCCCCCGGCCCTCCGAGACCCCTCGTTCCAGAGAGGCCTCACAGGGAGCCCTCGCGCCCTGTACAGTGATGAACGTCACAGTGATACCCGTACGTTTACTGACATGACGAGACATGGTACGTAATATGATAGAACACGTAATCTATACTGCAATAAGACAGAGGATGTTAAATATATGTGATTGAAATTTGTAATATATAATTATATGTAATATATATAACACATAACATCTATCTCAGTGCCCCCAGCCCATCCCCAGGCAGCTGGGGCCGCGTTTGTGCCCGTCGCATGGATGTGGAGCCGGCCGAGTCCTGCCGTGTGTCCCCGGTGCGTTAATCTCTAGCTCATTGTCTTGAGTCCTGCCGTGTGTCCCCGAGCGGGGCCGGCCCCGGCCTCGCCGCGGCTCCGCGTAGCGCTAACGTTGCAGGGGCAAAATCATTCCCGCTGCGTTCATCTCTAGCTCGTTGTCTTGCAGCTCCTGGCACAGCTCCACCAGAAAAAAAAAAAAGTGTTTTTCAAAAGATTTTTGCAAAGTCATGCGCAGGCCAGTAGCTGGGGTTAACTAAACAGAGACGCGGGGACGGCGGGGTGATCGAGATTCTGCACACAGGGAAAAGGCTGCAGCAAGATGGGAGCAGGGGCTGGTGCCTCCTCTTGCAGCGGTGTGAGCGGGTGGAGGCCGAACTGCCCCGTCTGCAGCAAACCTCCCTCAGGCTGCCTCCATGCAGGGGTCACCCCATTCGGCCTGTCCTCGTGCTGCCCCAAGCTGTTAGTAGCATTTTAGGGATTTAATTCCTAGCAGAAACATTTTTCTTTGACAGTGCTACAGCTTAATTACAGCCCCGCTCCTTCAGTTATGTTTTTCTTTCTGTTTTTCTGACAGTAAAATATTTTTGCTCCGTGTTGGGAGATGCAGTTGAGAAAGTTTGCAGTGGATCGGGATGTACAGCAGCCGCTGGGGAATTTCAACGCTCTCAGCACGGTGGTTTGCCTGTTTGTGATTAAATCTAATGATCAGCGCAGGGTCATGGAGATGGGACAACGGGGGTGAGGGTGGACTTGGCTGCTCCACAAAGCTCTGCCTTGGAGCTCTGAGATGTGCGGGGCTAGAAGAGCTCTGGTAGACTGGATTATTGAACGAAATGAGGAGTTTGGAGGGGTCTCTGCTTGGTCAACCTCAAAGTAGGTTGAGTGAAAGGGTGCTGTTCCCTGGGGGTGTCTGCCTGCTTCATTTCTTTTCCCATCTATTTGAAGGAAAATTCGTTCCTTTCTTCAAAAATAAAATCAGAGTCAAGGCGGAGGAGGCTGGGACTGGAGCAAGTGAGGTGAAGCCTGTGGTAGGGGCAGGGATCCGGGCTAGGAAGCCGGGAAGTAGGTCCGAAAAATTGTTGGGAGAGGGTGTCACCCTTGCTAAGCACGTGCAGCGATTCCATAGGCCTCCCGGTTAACTTGTAGCTGAAAAAATAGCCTTGCTCGGGAGTGCACGTGGTGAGGACATCACGCGTGGCCGCGTCGTGGGCCTTCCCTGCGCGAGCGGGTGGAGGACGCGCGTTCCTCGCGCGCGTAGGAGCCTGTCGTTGCATCGAGCGCCTCACAAGAGAAACAGCATCACCCGCAGCCGGGGTCTGCCCGGCACAGAGGGGTTTTGGGCTGCCTGCCGTGTGCTGGGTCGCTGCTCTCCCGTGGAGCTTTCCAAAGAACCCCTGCTCGTGATTTATGAGCTGGCAGATTGCAACGTGGCTTCGCCTATAAATAGCGGGGGGACATGAACGCTGAGCGTGGCCCCAGGCCAGCCCACCGGGCGCATCTCTGCAAAGAGCGACAGGAAGGGCCCGGCCAGCGCTCAGGGACACGGCGGGGCACGAGAGTCCCCCTTGCAGGGACAAATACACCCGGCCGCCTCGTGTCGTGTGTGTAGGGAGGGCAGGAGGCGGTGTAAGCACCGGCGTTGGCTCCTGGGACACGAGACCCGTCAAAGCTCGCGGCGCCATCGCGCTC